AACCTGGGCTTTTTATGAGAATCACATATTAAGTTTTAAAGCTGCAGGTGTCTGAGCAGAATCATTCCCAATACTTTTGGGCCCAGAGCAAGAGTATGAACGGAGGCCCACATACTGTGTGTCTAAATATTTAGAAGTTTCGGGCGCCTGGGTGGCTCAGTTGGTTAAGCGACTGCCTTCGGCTCAGGTCATGATCCTGGAGTCCTGGGATCGAGTCCCACGTCGGGCTCCCTGCTCGGCAGGGAGTCTGCTTCTCCCTCTGACCCTCCTCCCTCTCATGCTCTCTGTCTCTCATTCTCTCTCTTGCAAATAAATACAATCTTAAAAAAAAAAAAATTTAAATATTTAGAAGTTTCAAAGTAAGCAATACCCCCAACACAGGGCCCTCATTTCCACCCAGGGTCTGCAGCAAGTCAGGAGGGACCGCTCTGGGCCTGGAGGCTATAGGAGACCCATTCTCTCCTGGAGCCACTCTGCCACTAAGGACCAGAGTGGTCCGTGGACCTTCAGGAGGAAGACAGGGCAGAAGCCATAGGCAGGCCAGAGAGGAAGGAGGTGGATGACTCAGGCTCTTCAGGTTCGCGGCTGGTGGTGGGGAGTGCGTTCACTTGCCTCATACCTCAGTTTTCTGACCCCTCGGGATTGGCAGGCAGTTCTAAGTACCGCCTGAAAGTGTACCCCACACTCCACCTATCTCCAAAGCGGAGGGACGGGCAGAAGCACACTTACCTGAGGGACGTTGTCTGCCTCCACATCCTCCCACTTCAGAGGATGAGGGGTAGCTCTCCTGATGCTACAGCAGTCCCTCCTTCCTTGGTTTCAAAGGGCACAGGCTGATTTCTTCTCTCTCAGCCCAACCCCACCCCACTGGACGAGAGGGCCCAACTCAGCCGCTCTGTCCTGCCCTGCTATTTTATGAGTGCTCCATTGAGTGTAAACTTTAAAACACCAAGCTCAAAAGAAAAAAAGAAGTCTTTGCATTTCTGCGTTTGTGATGTCTGGGGTCTTCTAAAGCATATGACCCCTTTTGGCCTGGTTGAAGGGTTGTGCTCGGTCTGAACCCAACTCCTGATCTAGCATTTCTTGGGGTGGGGTAGGAGTGCCGTCTTAGGATTTGTGCTAACAAAGCTCCGTGTGTGAGTATAATGCACAGGCAGGGGTCGTCATCACTGCTAAATGTGGGGGAGGTGTGTCTGTTTGATTTTTGTTTTGCAGCACAGGAGAGATACAGAGGGTTGGTATTTTAGAAAGCAAAGAGGAGCAGCATGGAAGACGAATGGGAAGGTGGTGGATGGAAGCAGGAGAGCCGCAGGGAGCAAGCAAGATGAGGGTCTGGAGGAAGCAGGGGTGGCGGGCTGGGCGTAGGGGGAGCTGGATGGAGGGGTGTCGGGAGGTCACACCAGAAGTGCTCAGTGGTCAGAGGGAGAGATGGGGTCAAGGATCACTTAGAGGTCCCCAGCTTTTTATGGTTGAACTGTGTCCCCCAGACAGCTACGCGCAGGTCCTAACTCCTGATACCTATCAGTGTGACCTTATTTGGAAAGAGGGTATTTGCAGATGTCATTAAGTTAAGATGAAGTCATTAGGATGGGCCCTAACCCCTTATGGCTGGTGTCCTTATAAGAAGACACGAGATGGGGTACCTGGGTGGCTCAGTTGGTTAAGCGTCGACTCTTAGTTTTGGCTCAGGTCATGATCTCGGGATCATGAGATCGACCCCCAAGTCTGCCTCTGCGCTCAGCAGGGAATCTGCTTGAAGATTCTCTCCCTCTGCCCCTGCCCCCACTCACTCTCTCTTTCTTTTTCTCTTTCTCTCTCAGATAAACAAAATAAATCTTAAAAAAAAAAAAAAAAAAGAAGAGGAGAAGAGACACACAGGGAGTATGCAACGTGCGGACAGAGTCAGAGACTGAAGCTGGAAGTCAAGGAAGGCCAAGGACTGCCGGCCGCCCCCAGCAGCCAGGATGAGGCAAGGAGGGACAGGTTTGACAGGTTTGGTGGGGGGGGGGGGGCAGGGCCCTGCTGACCACTGGATTTTGGACTTCTAGTGTCCAGAATTGAGACAACACATTTCTGTTGTTTGAAAGCACCCAGTTGGTGGGAGTTTGTTACCACAGGCCTAGGAACGAGCTCACGCCTTCCATGGCACACCCACAGGGCCGGCTCTCTCTCAACCGAGCCGTCAGTGAAGGCGAGCCTTCGTCCCAGCCAGCGTCTGGGTGGGGATGTTCTCCCCAACGTGCATATCCTCTCCACAAGAAATGAGCCCCTCTTTGTCATCCCGCCGTGTAAAAACAAAGTATTAATTCACAACGGGTTTCAATCTTCTACTATACTAAAAGGCACACACAGAAGGTATTAATTTACTACAGGTTTCCCTTGTCTACTCTATGAGAAGGCAGTTTCCAAGTTGAAGTGAAAAGGTTTTACGTACCATATTGCCATTCTGTAGGGACCGTATTCTAGTTGGGGTTTCGAAGGTATTTTTGGTAGCATTCTAAGGTATTGTCTTTAATCTCCCATAGTAAAAATTATCCAGAAAACCTACTGGAGACTTCATCTCTAGAAGGAACATTTTTCAGAGAGGAAATGGTTGCAGCACTGAACTGCCAAAGAGACAGCTGAAAAAATGGGTCATGCTTTCATCCCATTCTGGGACATAAGCTTCCAAGCGGTTCACTGGTCATTTTTGTCCTCTTCTCGTAAACAAGCTGCGTTAACAAGTTACTTTAAAAAAAGCATACTAATTTCCCCAGTGAATTACACAGGAAAGAATCCAGCATTCCCTCCAGAGAACTCAAATAGTTGTTTGTTCTCGGAGCTCAGGTGTGGTAAAATCGCTGTCGGCTAAAAATGCATGCTGGCTATTGGCTAGGAGGCTGGAGCTGTCCATCCACTCCAGCCCTGATTTCTCACATTGGTGTGCAATTCGTAGTTTGCTTAATGGAAAAAAAAAAAAAGGACTCGATTTTCAATTTCAATTTAATTACACAATGTATAGTACCCAGTGGGAAGGATTTAGGGGCAAAGATTAATGCTCAACAGTGCTCCGTTTTACATTCTTTTCTGATAAAAAACACTGTATTGATTATCCAAAGTGAGTTTTCAAATTCGTTTTTTAAAAGCCAAATTTTGGAGGGTGACAGAGTGATTTAAAGAAGGGGTGTGACTTCATTTCTTGGTTCTTTGCCAAAATCGATAAATTAGAGGTGTAAGGTGCCTCTTTGGATTGTATTGTCAGTGTATCCTTGAGAGTGGAGAGCTCTTCTCTACTTGGGAGAAGAAAGAATAGAAATTCTATTGTAAAATTAGAAATACCAGCTGCAGATACTGATGGAACAACACAACTGTCTGTTCTGAGAACGACTGAATAACAATTATTAAGACCCTTCCTTCTATAACAAATACACTTAAGACCCTTCCTTATTATGTTAAAGTCCAAAGAATTTCACTCTCTTCTTGGGACTGGAAACCATTATGATTTCATTTGGCAACAAATCAACGTGTCAGATTACAAGTAAATATTTGGTGTTCTATTTTGGGGTCCACATATTCTGTTAGTTTAGCCAAGGGTAAAAAGAAGGAAAATATAGGAAATGAAAATCTGCCCATAAGAGGTAGCCTTAATACAGGTCTTGGTCAATTGCTTTAACTTGTTAACTTAATAAAGAAAACAGGTCTCTTTATAAGAAAAAGTATTCCCTATGTGACTTAAATAAATAAAATGGTAGCAATAAACTTTACCGGTTAACTCTTGCTCCGCCTTACCAAACCAGCTGAGCACATACAAATAGCTGAAAATACAGTGATCAAGAAATGAAGCTCAAAAAGCAAATAAACTATTTGAAACAGCTAACTGATTTTGCCCTTGTGCAATGGCAGGAGTTGCAAGTATTAAGATAGCTGCAGCTATGAGTCAACATGTCCAGTTATACGCAAAAGCAAAATGGTACCTGATCAGCCTTAAATTTTGCCTACTGAACTTGCGTTACTTTCATTAGCCTACTGAGTTAACTATTTTTAGAGCTTGATGAGTTACAGGGCATCTGGCCCAGATTAGGTAAAGCTAGAACTTAACTGGGGTGGAATGACAATGAGGACTAGAATCAGAATTTATTTGGGAGGCATTAGAAGACTTTGGAAAAGGTACTCTTGACTGGTTTAAAAGTAGACTTACCGCTCTTCTCGTTGGCAAGGGTGAGTTATAATTTATGCCAGAGGAGAACAATTAAAAAAAAAAAGGACATGGGGATTTGTGCTTGTGAGTGGAGGAGCTGAGCTCCCTGAGTCTGGTGGCACTGGCAGCCTTTGGGGAAGGACAGCCGAATCACCTACAGAAAGAGGAGGTGGGGCGGGGCAAGACAGGGTTTGGTGAAGGCCTCCCTTGGGTTCATGGGTGGCTGTAATCAACTCCCTTCAACAGTGACACGGAGTGACTCCATCTACCAGCAAATAAAAATAAGTCTGTAACAAGACTGGGTAAGAAAACAGTGAAGTAGCCAGGAAGACGCTGGCTAACCGTGCTGCATAGAAATCAAAGACCACAATGGAAAGCCAACTTGTATGTTTCTCCTGCAAGGGGTTCTGTTCTGAACTGTTTGGGAGGGAGTGACTTTCCGCCGGGCAAATTAAAACCTGGGAAGATCACTCAGGAGAGTCACCTTAGTTAAGGGAAAAATAGATACAAGTATCTTTTTGCAGCCCTGATAGTATCAGTGCAGAGGTCATGATATGTTCAGAGGAAGCTTGCAAATCAGAACTGACAGTGTCTTACTTCTCCACTGTTTCCTTGGGTGGGTGTGTGGAGGGAAGGAGGGAGATGGGGAGACAAAGAAAGTACATGTGATCATCCATGTCTGACCAGTGTACTTGTTCTCAGAACCAACAGCATGTATACTGTTCATACTTAATAATTAGCAAAACCTTTTTCCATATTTACAAATGCTTGACTATTAACATCTAATGCATAACTCTACAATTTATGAGAAGGGAAGAAATACCTGGTCGGTGATACGTTCCTGGATTTTTTCTCTAGTCACTGAAAGAGAAAGCAAAAATAAATGTGACATTAAAGGGTGAAAATGAATAAAATGCAGTACTGATCCTGCTCTGTTGTCACTCAAAATTCCAAAGCAGTCATGGGCTCTTTAAGCAAACACTTGTATTACGATATGGACCTTTACAATCACTGCAATAATTGGGAGGGGGAAAAAAAGCCAAATCCTAAATAAACCACATGAGGCAAAGATGTTAGAGAATAGAATGGACAGCTGGTAAGGGGGTACCCCAAAAATGCATGAAACTTTGGCAGAGGAGTGGAGAGAAGAAAAGGACAGAATAAAAACTTGAACAATAGCCAGTCAAAGGTTTCCAGACAATGACAACCTGTTCAAGTACAATACTAACACCGAACTCATGGAACCTTGAGGACTAGACAAGGAGTTCTAATGTGGCAGGTGGCAAAGTGCTACTTTTAAAACCTTTTCTCTGATAATAAAGACATCATTATGCTTTGTTGTTATGGTGCTGCAGAAATTCAAGTGAAAACCAACGGTTTTCTGAAAGGTATCTTGGTCAGGACAAAAAAAAAAAAAAATCAGAGTAACGTATGAAAGGTAACAGGGATATATAAAGAATAAAGTCACTAAAATAGTAAAGCTTCGTGGTGAAAACAGCCTGAAAGTGATCAGTATTGTTTATGTATTAAATAGAAGGAAAAAATCCCTAGTAATAATAAATGATCAACAAACCAACAAACCAAGGAAGAGGGGAAAGAAGAAATTTTGTGGCACTACAGATATTATGGGCTTGTGAACATCTTGGTAGGATACATAGTTGATTAAACATGTCCTTTTAAAATTTTAAATAAGATAACTGTGCAGTCACTTGCATTTTTAGGAAATAATACAGACTGTTCCTGGGTACCCTTTACCCAGTTTTCCCTGATGGTAACATCTGGAAGATCAAAGCACAGAATCCCAACCAGGATGCTGACATTGACTCAGTCGGAATACGGAGCATTTCCATCACCACAAGGATCCTTCCCGTTGTGCTTTTAGAACCACACCTATCTCCTCCCACCCCCTCTCTCCTCTTAACCTTGGGCAACCACTCATCTGTTCTCCATTTCTATCATTTTGCCATTTCAAGAATGTTACATAAATGGAATCCTCCATTTCATAACCTTTGAGGTCAGTTTTTCTCACTCAGCTGAGTTCTCCAGAGATTCGTCCATGTTGGCCTGTGTATTCCTGGGAGTTCATCCCTTTTCATTGCTGAGTAGTAGTCCATGGTAAGGATGTACCAACATGTGTTTAACCGTTTGCGCACTGAAGGTCATCTGGGTAGTTTCTAGCTATTATGAATAAAGCATCTACCAACATTTGCGTACAGGCTTTTTTGTGAGTGCAAGTCTTTATTTCTCTGGGATAAATGCCCAGGAGTGCAACTGCTGGGTTGTATGATAGTTGCAGGTTTAGTTGTTTAACAAACTGCCAAACTGTTTTTGTTTTTTTTTTTTAAGACGTGTACTGAATAATTGATATTTACCAATCAATTAATCAACCAAAAATAAGTATATTTGAACATTTTACTAAGTGTTCAGTACCAGGCAAGGTGTTATATGAGATACAGTAGAAGTGTAAGAAGCATAGAAAATGGAATGACAGCGTTAAGAGTGGATTGTCATGCCACTGTTAAAAAATGCCAGGGGCTAATCTTGGAGTCTTCAGATAATAAGAAATCATTTTCTTCCTTTTTTAAATGGCATTGCCCAATGAGATTCTCTTGATATGTTTTAATAGTTAGATTTCTTTTGTCGGATTATATGCAGGATGTTTAAAGAAGAGGCAACATGATTTGTGGAAAAAGCTTGGCTTTTTGAATTAGATCACCAGTCTTGCCTAGAAGACGGAGAACATCCAGCAGAAGGAAGGTCATGTTTAAAGCCATGAGACAAAGGGGGAGCATAGTGGGTCCAAGGCATGGAAAGGAAGCCGTGATGGCCAGAGTGGAGAAATAAGCGTGTGTGGTATAATATGAGGTGGGGCAGCAAGTCACGTAGACCACTTCTGGGAAAGTTATGATCGTTACAAGAGCAGTGGGAAGTCAGTTATTAAGGAAATTTAGGCCAGGGTGTGGGTTGGGACATTGGAATGGTGTGGTCAAATGTGCATTTTTAAAAGACCACTCAACGCTTGTTGCTAACTGCAGAATAGGCTGGAGGGGAGCCCGGGGTGGCAGCCACAGTACAAAGCCTTCCTTCTGCTTCCTTAGGAACCAAGGGAACTCTGAAGGAATTCCAGGGAAAAATGAGAGCCCAAACAATCAAACCATCGTCATCTAATAATGCAGCAGCCCACTAGACTCTAACAAACGGAGCAGACAACAACCTGGTATCTAATCACAGCCCTGCCATTTGCTAGATGTTTGATTTGGGGCCAGTTAACTAATGCTCTGCATGTTTGGTCATCTATAACAAAGAGTTCACAATATTTCCTCCTCTCCAGATTTGGAAGGAGTAGAATGAAGTAAGTTGGCATTTTGCAGGCAAAGGAGAAGCGAAGGGCATTCCAAGGAGTTGTGGCCGGAAGGATAGTCTCAGAGGCAAGAAGAGGGTGTATTTGGATGAATCTCGAGATGTTCTAGTGGTTTATAGAGTGAGAGCATATCCCAGAGCAGGTGGGAAGTAGGGGGTATGGGAAGAAGGTAAGAGCTTTGGGGCATTGCTGGCTTGAGGTGAAGTTGAGAAGGGTTTTTCTGGCTGTGGGAAGCCAGTGGAGGTTTTTCAGCAGGGGGGGTGAGGTGACCAAAGCTGTGCTTGAGAAAGAGGACTTCGGTGATGGTGTGGAGGAGGGGGTGAAGGTGAGCAGAAGATATGTGCCAGAGAGAGCAAAAAGCATGTCCAGTCCTTAGGCAGCAGGGCTGAGGGTTTCAGCCCAGGAGGGAGAACAGAGATGGAGGGATGTGTGGAGCTGGTGGTCTTTCTGAGGTAAGTTCTGGAGACTGAGTGGATGTGGCAAGTACAGGAGCAGGGAGTGAAGGCAAGCCCTAGGTTTTCATCAAGGGGAACGTGTGGATACTGGTGTTACCAAACAGACAGGGGGAAAAGGAACAGAATTTAAAGAGAAGTTATTAAGGGAGCCCTATGGGCTTGTCCCCATAATTAAAATGAAGATATCTATAGGTTATGAAAACTGATATGGCAATTATGGTAAATAGAATAGAATACAATAATGCTCCCCCCCCCCAATGTCCATATCCTAATCTCTGGACCCTGTGCATATGGTACCTTATATGGCAAAGGGACTTTATAGACGCGATTAAGTTAAAGGTCTTGAGATAGGAAGATTATCTGGGATTATCTGAATGCGAACAGTATCATCGCAAGGGTCCTTATAAGAGAGAAGTAGGAGAATCAAAGACAGAGGAAAGGGGATGTGACAATGGAAGCAGGGGTCAGAGGGATGCCGTGGCCTGAAGAGGACTGAACCTGGAAGGTGGGCAGCCTCTAGACTTGGAAGAGAGAATGAAGCAGACTCTCCCCTCGAGCCTCCTGAAGGTATGCCGTCTTGCCGTACCTTTCTTCTAGTCTAGTGAAACCCCTTCTGACCTCCAGAACTGTAAGAGTAATACACTTGGGAGAGCCCTGGCTCCAGCTACAGGTAAGAAACCAAGACACAAATATCTTGGGATGACAAGACAGGCTGGATAGAGGTTTCCTTGGCAAAGGGTCTGAGTGAGTCCAGGATTTGGATCATCTGTCCAAATGAGAAAGAGGCAGGTGACCATTGGTGGTAGAAGGGGCAGGAAACACTTCCATGTTTTGGACGGACTTAATTACCAGGTTGGGTGCAGCTCAGATAACAAGGTAGGTGCCGTGCTGGGGGAGCGAGGGGTAAGGCAAGGGCTGATTCAGAAGATAACAGGGCAGGTTTCTAGTTGCTGAGGTCAGTTGCTTGAGGATCACAGGGACTCAGAAGCCAGACAGATCATTTCTGTGAGTTACAGTTATTTAAACATAAGAAAAATCATCTCCTCCCTTGAGCTATTAAAACTGTAATGAGTTAAAATATATAATTATATAATTATTTTGTGGCCCTAGTGGTTATGATTGCAGCTAATGATAGTTTTTTTTTTTTCCTCCTGCTTACGGATGGTCTTGGGCTGGTGCAGATGTACATGTTCCCTGGCCCATGCAAGAAAAAAGGAGGGAATCCCACTTAAGGAAAACCTAAGTCATTCCCAAGTTTATTCAAATCGTATTTGAAAAAGAGGACTGGAATTTAGGGGATAAATTGTAACTGCATAAGCCTTTGCTAATAAAAGATTAAGAAGTATGTGATTTAGCATCTTTTAATTATTTTTTCTAGCATCTTGAATATACAATGTTTGAAATCTCTGGTTGGATCAACATTATTTTGCTCAGAGGTTTGTGGACTTTGCATACTGATTCTTTCCTGTTTCCAAGTACATTTGCTTTTAGGCTATTTTTATTCACTTTAAAGGAATTTTAATAACTTTCTGTTGACAGCATGGACAGCTGGTCTTGAGAATTAAAGAAAATTCACTTGCTGACTGAGGAAGGAAGTGACATCAATGAGCTTCTAAAGTCAGCCCAGAGGGGGAAATTGGTTTGTGAGAGAGTGGCCTTTCATTGCACTATATTTATCGAGCGATGCCTTGAGATGCAAATTGCTGTATCAATCAAACCCATGGTGCCTACCTCCAACCAACTTCATGCAAACTGAAGGAACAATGCCCTGAAACACAAAGAGGAAGAAGGATGAGGGGTGCAGGAACCCAGGGGCTAAGTGAATTACGGGAGCTCATGATCCCCTCTCTCTGGTGGATACTTCCTTTCCTGTCAAGCCTCAGTTTTTTGTCTAGAAAATGAGTTTGATGCAATCTGTTGGATGAAGTCAGTCTGTTTCTGTGACAGATGGTTACTAAGACCATGTCCCCATATATATAGTGTAGGCATGTTATCGCTCCACTTTGTCCCAAAGAGTGCTATCAATTGCTTTATATCCCCCACTG